ATATATGTATATATATATATATATGTATATATATATATATATATATATATATGTATATATATATATACGCGCATAAGTCTCTTGGGTCGGAGGTTCGAATCCTGTGGCGCGGGCTCTTGGGATCAAAATCAAGCACACCGGGTTTTCAACATATATGAGGGAATCAATATTTGGTGCCCACTGGACTAAATATCCATTTATATATACATATTTTTGTTACAATTCTCTTTTGAAAGCTTTGTGCATATTTTAAAGTTTAAGTTGTGTTCTATTTTAAGTCTAGGATTTGGTAAATTTTAGTTTTTCACAATTCCCTCACTGTTTTGCTTGGAATCTCTTGCTTGAAATCTCGGATTTACAGCATTTACTAAATCCATTACCAAATAAAAGAAAGGTTTTTGGGAGGACTGCAATCTACAACCTCTGTTTATATAAGAGAGTAGCATTCTGCCTACATACCACCCAAATCCTATATTTGCATCTCTAGCACCTAGAGTTTATTTTTTACATTTATACCACCCAAATCTTCTATAATATATAAAATATACCACCATTTTAACTTCTAAAAAATGAAATACAGATTTTCATGCATAGGTGAAGTGTCGAGTATGTAAAAATTGGAGTTTTGACTGTTAGATATGTGAATGCATAGGATGAAAAATGGTATGTATGTATATATTCCAGTTTCCTGGAATTACGACCTCGTGTAGAAAAGATCTCGTTTTCTATATTTAGCCCTAATTTTTGCTACAGATGGCTGCATTTCCTCTCATTTTTTAAAATAAATAGTAATATATACATATTCTTATTAGTCATTCTAACCATAGCAGAATATAAAGTAGAAGGAGCATACAAATATTACAATCAACTTATTATACTTTGGAAGATGCCTATTTCAGAATATATATACTTTGTTGCAATTCTCTTGTGATCATCTACCAGAAGATAGGATTTATGATCAAGGTAGGAAACAAAGAAGGTGAGAGCTAGATCAATTCCGAAGAAACCATTCATATAAGAAAATGAATTTGGTAAGAAAGCCAGTTCAAACCAGTTCAAATGGGCATAGGTTGAATAGATTACTAATATGATGAGAAACATCTCCCAGGCTCTGAGAAGAAGAAAACAAAAAAAAGTAGAATGAGCAATCTCTTCTTTATATTTTACTATACAGAAGTGGAGGTTTGATTTTCCTGTATCGTGGATCATAAGGCGAAATTATATACTTCCTGAGCTTGGTATACTGATTTAAGCTTGCTCCCAATGGTGGCATTATATCAGTAGAGAAGGTTATGGCAATCATTACTTGCACAACTAGTAATTGATGTATTGAAGAAGTCATATTTATGGGTTTAATTCCTCATAGCAAGGGCAACCGCTTTGAAGTATAAAGTTAATGATGAGCTAAGGACTCAACCAAAAGCAACTGATGAGTGAGACGTGACAATCTTTTAACCCTTCAAAATGCATGAAACATTTACAATGCTTGCATCCGTCGCCAGAATTCCCATCTAAGAGAAAAATCACTTTGTGTTCATGTGGCACTAAATAACCATGAATAATCATTTGTGTTTTGTAAATTAAGTCATAATACACCCTCATGGCCTCTATTGTTCTCTCCTTCAGCATCCAAAGTGATCTTCTCCTCCATTATTTCTGAATGCTGCCATCACTACCCAATAAGTCATCTCAACTTGACGCCAAAGCAGTCATCAAAGTTGTCAATGGGCGATTATTGTCACTTCATTGTCACTAGAGGGATGAAAGAGTTAAATCAACAAAAGATTGGCTCAATCATCCATAATTGTTCAAATCCATCAGCAGGTCAATCTAAATCTAGACCGACAAAATTAACATTGTTCAATTCATTTCCTTAAGATGCATGCCAATCCTCAAATGAAAATTGCAAGTAGCCCAAAAAATCGCTAACCTTACATGCTTCAAATGCATCATGGTGCTCACTACATTTAGGCATGGAGGGCGGTAAACGAGCCGAGCTTGAGCGAGCTCAGGCTGGGCTCGTGTTCGGCTGTTCGAAATAGCTCGTGTTTGAAATTGACTCGTGTTCGAAATCGGCTCGTGAACAGTGTGTTCGTGTTCGGCTCGATTTAAATATTCGTGTTCGTGTTCGGCTCAAAATTGGCTCGTTAAACTAAAATTGAGAAAAATAGATGTAAAGTGTGGGATTCGAACCTGGATCAAATCTATACAAAAGCAGACACTAACCACTTTGC